AGCGGCTCGCCATCGCGAGCTCCGCCCTACTGCCCTTCCCCGGGGCCTGTACGGCCCAGCGAGCACGACCCGGCATGGCAGGGGGCAGCGGAGCCACGTGGGGAAGCTGCTCATTCCTGCGAGCTCCGTGCTGCCCTGGCACCGTGCCTCCTGCACGGAGGGCTGCAGTGAGCGCAGTGGCGTGGGGTTGTGCCCCTCAAAGCAGTGGCACGTGCAGGGAGTGCATCGCCAAGGCAGCAGGGAGCGCGCAGCGCAGCGCAGCGGTGGTCAGCAGCTCTGCACGCCCCTGCTGCACCAGGTCATGCCCGCTGTGCTACGGAGGCCCCCGGGGAGGGCAGCAGAGTGGGAGCCTGAGCCCACAGCCCATGCCTGCCCCACACACAGAGCTGGGGGTCATGGGTCCCCCCTGTTGCCCAAGTCCCCTGAGGCATCTTATCCTGTAAACCTGATGTAGGCACACCTAGAACATGCTGACCAGAACCTTTACAAAATGCTAAAGCAGCTGCCTTCTTTTTAAAATGCAGGTGCTGAAGGAGGGGAGTGTAGTGCATACCTTTTGTACAATAGCCTACCAGTCAGAGCACTTGCCCAGGAAGTCAGAACGCGCTGAGGCCCTTCTACAATCTTTGCTGTACAGCAGCACATCTTCAACAGGAGGGACTGAGAACACTCCTGGTCACATCTAAGACGTAAGAGCTGTGGGTTTGAGCTGCCTGAAGTAGACTTGACCCTCACTCAACCACTGTGTGACGTCTCTATTTTGTAAGTAGAATGGGGGGGAGTGCAGGTAGGGTGTGGCAGCTTCTTCAAAGGAAGATGTGAATGGGCTATACCTAATAAAGGACAGGGTCATATCAGTGAAATTGTAATTAATGTGTGACCAGCTAGCTGGTAGTGATTTGGCCCAGGGGTTTTGAAGGGGTAAAAGATGATTGGAGGGCTTGGGATTCCCTTTCCTCACCAGTCAGGCCCCCACAGACTGACCCTCCATGTCCCCTGATTGGTCCCTTGGGTCAGCACGGCTAATTTGGGAGACCAGCGAGGGACTATGAGGAAGGTGTTTCAGCGAGCTGGCAAGAGCTGGGCCAGCGGGGTGGGAGCAGTTGCCCCAGAAGCACCTGAAGGAGTAGGACCTGCAGGCAGCAGTTGGACCCTCAACAGGGTGGTGTGTGGCCGGCAGGAGAGGCTCCCCGCTGGGCTCCAGGATCCCTACGAGAGG